CCCTGTAGCTTTTGTAGGTCTCGAGATGAAAAATCGGTACAGAGGCCCTGCGCACACACAGACACGCACACACAAACACGCACACGCAGACACACACACACACACAGACAGACAACCTCTCGTCAATATGCATTTTTCGCACTGCATAGCTGCAAAAAAACGCATAAAAATTAACAGGACAGAAGTGTTCCGGCCTAGTCAAACCGCAAGCTTCTTCCACACAAACATTTTTTGCTGCAAGCACACCTCTAGCAACCAATAGTATTTTAGACACCTTATTTGTAGCAGCAATCGGGCTTGGCTTTACCGCACTGCCCAGCTGCTGTAAAAGGCTATTATTTATCAAATTTTTTGAATATCATTAATGAGACGAACCATAATCATGCCAGCAAGCGCACTAGCGAACTGGCATACTATCCACTCGTACAAATTAGGACCCCACATACCAATGCGGTCACCACGATCCAGACCCAAATGCAACAAACCGCTAGCCAGCTTTTCACACTGCAAAAACCACACTACAAGAATTTTAAATTTTCAGCATTCCCTGTCAGGATTAAAGTTTCTCGGGAGTTCTCGATTTCTAAAACACTTGTTATACAAAGTTTCGCAAAAATTCTCGATTTCCGAAGCAATTATTATGCATATTTTTGGGCAAACTCGGTAACGTCGCTACGTACTGCCCCATATAACTCAGTCTGGTCACAGGAGATGAACATTCTCCTTTTCATCGACTCTTCTCGTTTCCGAATTTTGGTTCTCTTGATAAAACACTAACTCTTTTTTCCGAAAATAACTCCATTGGTCAAAGCAACGATTTCTGGTCAAAACCCACAGGCACCAGATCAATTTTTTCACACCTTTCTGTCGTATTTTCAAAACGAATGCCTATTTTCTGCACTTTGTGCTGCTGCAACGAGGACTACGTTTCAAAGTGGCAGCATTCAGGCATCAAGCTCCATTTCTTCCAAAACCCGGACTGAGCACTTTAGGCCATTACTTGCTTGAAGACAGCAATGCACTGCTCATTTACTGTAAACTGCTGGATTCCAGAGGGCATCTCTATAAACTTTATAATCTGAAAAATTGAAACTTACATCATAAAGAAGTTGCTGATATGTTTTCCGTATGCCGTCACGCTTGAATATTACAAATTCTCGATCAGGCACCTAGAAAAATTCCCACAGCATAATAAGCTGCATGAAATTTAACTGGGCAAAATACAGTTTTTTTCGATTATTTTTTCTGGTTGTAAAAAGAATCTGCAGAAAACCAAGAAATGTCGCCCGAAAATTGCAGTAAAATTTTTATTTTGTAAAAAAGTTATTCAAATTTGGCCTCAAATTCCTACAATAAATGCTGGCAGTATTTACAGTCACTTCTATTATAGAAGGCATAAAAAATACGCGTATATTAAAATAGTAAACCTTTTCGACGGCCATCCGTAGGCGATCCCCGATGGTATCAAATAAAAGTGGAACGCTCGATACCCCATGCACATAACTCTTCTTTGCAGCATTCTCCGATTGCGCACTTGCATCTCCGTTAAGCGGTGCTTCTAAAAAAAAAAAAAATTAATGTCTTTTAGGAGCCAAAATGCTTTCTCGTGATGGACAGAAGAGAGTGGGCGACGAAATGTCTGGCTCTTAGCACTCCCTGTGGGCATGGCTAAAATACCGAACATTTTCGAGGATTCATTCCAAAATCAGCCAGTAATTTATCAAAATTTGATAGCTTGGAACGTTCTGAAAAGCTGCGTAACACCTTTCACAAACAAGAATTTTTCTACTCTGGTTTGCCACAAAGTGAAATGCCTATTTTCTTGATTTAAAAGCAGCTTAATACGACTTCAGAGATTTACAAAAGTTCGAAATTATTCTTTAATGGATCGCTACTAGAAAAATTGCCTCTATAATGTGCTTATTGGCGTAGCGCCTGCAAACTGATCTAATGGGATCTGAGATTCCCTGCATTAAAATTCTGGAAGCGCCGAAAGGATCAAAAAATGAAGTATTTTCGAAAATTCCGAGTGCAGATCTTGATTAACTTTATTATTGGCAATCCTTGTAAAAAGCGAAGTGAAACGCGGAGCAAGAAAATTTGCTAGCTGTATGCATCTCACTGGAAGTTCTCAATAATGGATCACATTTGTTCCATAAGAGCGTGTAGCGGTGTGAACATATGAGAGGAAGCACAGAGAAGCTGAAAGTTTCTACAGTAATAAACTGTCGACAGTATGAGAACTTTTTTGCTTAGTGAAAGAAAACAACTGGACCAGCATACAGTATTGGTCCGGTTTTTATGCATTTTTTGCAGTAACGCAATGTGAAAAACGCATATTGACGAGAGGTTGTTTGTGTGTATGTGTGTGTGTGTGTGTGTGTGTGTGTGTGTGCGCAGGATCTCTGTACCGATTTTTCATCTCGAGACCGGCAAAAACTACAGGGCTGAAACTTTGGGGCCTTAATCTGCGTGCACGTACGGGCTCACATCCCCGAAATGAGCAGCCTTACTCGCGTGGTACCCATGTAAGAGCCCGACAAAGTTTTTTACGGGTCAGTTGCTAACTCGCAAACCTAAAAAGTTTAGAAAGCTGAAATTTTATGAAGATGTTCCCCATCCAAATAAGTATTAATGAGCTCAAGCCCAGCCTACGGGGTAAGCGCGGTACCTGCGTACGGGCCCGCCAAAGATTTTCCCGGGTAATTCCATAACTCGGGGATCTGAGATGCTAGAAAGCCAAAATCTTAAGGGGATGTTCCCCATCCAAATAGGTATTAATGAGCTCAAACCCAGCCCCCGGGTAATCGTGGTACACGCGTACGAGTCCGCCATAATTTTTTTGAGTAAGTAGATAACTCGCGAACCAGAAAAGCTAGAAAGCTGAAATTTTAAGGGGGTGTTTCCTGCCAGTTCTGGCGGCTAGTCTTAATTTGTTTAGCTAGAAGCATTTGTCGAAAAAATCGATGCCGGAAACGACAAAAGCTGCGGTGAACTATTGCAAAAAACGCATCTTCGCATGGGCAGCCCGTGCTCTGGCCAATTATTTTTTTTCGTTAAGCAAAAAAGCATACCGTATTTAGGCCAAGATGTGCCACTAGCTGACCGCAGTGAACAGCTGATTTTCTACTGCGAGGAGATAAGCGAGCAAGTAACGCAAATGCATCATACTCCAACTTCGGAGGAAGAAAAAAACGGGTGCTGTTGCATTAAAAAATTCATGAAATGCTGAATTTTTCCAAAATAGCCTATGGAAAAGGGCTGAATTACTCCTTATTGCGGACTGTCTTAGCCACCAAAATTTTTGGACCTATCTACGTAATAATTTTTCCCTTGCCCTCCTTTTACTTCATATTGTCTTAAGAGCCATTATAAAATTTTATGTGCACAAAATTTGGTGTTGCGGCCCTTTTGTATGCATATTCGTTTGTGCGTCTATATATATATATATATATATATATATATACATATATATATATAT